GTCAAAAGTCAAGCAAAAATTGGACTGATATTGGGCACTATTTCAAGCACAATTTTTTGAGACGTAAATTGTACCTATAGCTCGTTCGATATTCGCGCACTGAGGTGAGTATGCTGGGCGTAGAACCTACGCCCAGCATACTCACTGAACGAAGCCTATAACTCCGAAGTTATTCGAGCACTGTTTTTTCTTTTTGGGCACCGTTTGGCACTATTTGGGAACTATTTTTTGAAGTATGAATTATGTTTGAAGCGTATACAGATTCTCCGGACGGAGGTGAGTATGCTGGGCGAAACCTTCGTCCAGCATACTCATCGAACTATGGCTATAACTTCGCAAGTACAAGAGCACTATTTTTTTCCTTTGGGCACTATTTAGCACTATTTCAGAACAGTTTTTTGACATTCATGAAATATCAGGATTCCATGGTGAGTATGCTGGACGAAGGGACACAATGTAAATGAGTGCGTATGATGTCGTTCAGTGTACGCGTATCTAGTGGCTGGTCTGGTTCTCGGTCACACGGGACGGTATCTTGACGCACGCAGCATGCATCCGCACACGCACTCATTGCTCAGGATTCGCATACTATTTTTTACATTTTTTTAACTATCATTGCCGATCGTGAGAAACAAAACTCGTCTCGCCCCAGCCGTGGTCAGCATCCACCGTTCGCTCGTTACGATGTCTTATTTTTAATCCACCTTTTACGCTCCGCTCGATACAGTTTATTGAAGAGGTTTTTATGTCCACAGATATTACGGTGAATCACCTTCATAAACCGGATAATTTTGATCTACCTTATAAATATTTAATTGTTACGCATCACATTATTTTTAGAGACATTATGATTCTGAATGGGGCTATAATCTTTATTTATTATACCTATTTTAAATGTTGATCTGACTGTAATATAATATTATACATCCAGCTATAATTTTACAGAGAATGTAACTTGACACAAAAAAGTAATGATGCATTGAATTTAACGCTTACGCGTAATTAAATATCAGATGTTCTCCGTTGGGTAACAACTAACAATGTATTGAAAGGGTTGAGAATTGATGTAACATGTTGCACGTAAACTCGCACAGATGTGCTGCATGCTGCATACAATGATACAACACAATACATGGAGGTTTGAGTGAGTGCATTACGCGAGGGCGTTGTGATGCGACGCATGCATTTGATATTTTCATTAGTCTGTGACACCACTGCGGTACTGTTTTGGGAACAACTGTTCACTGATGTATACTATTTAAACTGGTTTGCGTAAATTCAGCTCCAACGACACGATGTACCTACTTCGAACACACAATTTATGTGCGCCGAATGGCGAGTGAGTGTACCGGAACAATTACTGGAGTAAACAAATGAGCGATTACCGGCACGGAGGCCATAAGCTAGTTATGTTCATGTTGAAGCAGTCTAATGTTACAGAATGCGTAGGTAAGTACTTTTACTTGCGCAAAGTCAAAATATACAGGGATTACTGTAAAATCTGTATCAACATTGACAGCGAAATAACGAAATAAGTTATGTTATTCGCACCTGACATAGAACATGAAATAAGAAAGATAATAAAAATGTAAAATAGGTTTCCAATGCATATTTTGTAGAATGAATAAACTGTAAGTAGGACTAGTTTGCAACGCTGCTAGCGAGGTGCCGCGGTCAACTCTCATGTGTATTTCTCGTTAGTGTTCAATTTATGAAGCAACATACCTATCCATGTATGTACGTCGCCGTCGTGTATAATATTATTTTCTCTCGTAATACTTTATTGGCATGAAGGGTCTCAGGCAGATTACGCTCGGCTCAATATGCGGTAAACAAGATAAAGCTTGCATTTGCGCAGAGCCAGTTGACACTTGAGCCTCGAGATGCGACCGCGATGTGCTGAAGACTTACTCGATCCCACGCGGATCAGGAAACTGCGGTTCTTTCCAGTGACTTGTAATAAATAACCATTCGATGGATCGGGGCGGTTTAACGTTCGGCTCGATGGACTACCTTTCGGCAAAAGACAAGTTGAGCAGGATTTTATTTAAACAATTTATTGATCGTACGGACACAACTTTTTAGACTAGTGTGACAATACGTCTCAGGATTAGGATAATGTTTCTAATGTCCAAAACCATTTAAACATTGAAGCCATACTTGTGTAACATGAGGATCCAGTTCAATTCCGAAGCTTTCAATTAAGATAAAACTGTTTCTGCATTTGTCTGACTCAACCAGGGACAAGAAAAGAGTTTAATTAAACGCGTATTAGGTAAACGAGTGACTATTTCAGAATTAAGACTTGGAACGTATGTACATGTTACGGAAATCTAGATTTTGTGTACCGTTTTTTATAAGCAGTAATGGAAGATTAAATATTTGTGTTAGTCAGAATTTATTAAGACTTTCATATTTCTCTTCGTACGTAAGATCATAAACTTGTAGGTACGTTTACACTACACGTGTATTTTCTTCGTTACGTATTTAGCATTAGGTACTTATCTAATTTAATAATGAGAGTTCCCAAGATACATGAAAAACTTAACGAGGTTTGTATTAATTTCATTATGAACTTTTATGTTTTCGCCTCAAGGTTTTTCCTTTAATGTTTTAAGTTTTTTGAGAGGCATTGCACATCACTTTACATCTTTGAACATTTTAATTAGATAGGTTCTGTATAATCCTACCTTTATCTTAAATGTCTATTTTTAACGTTGATCGGATTAAAATAATTGGGTACGTACAATAGAAATAATAATGTAATGAACTCTGGGATGTCAAAAATTATATGTTACAAATTCTCTCACCAACAAATTTTTAATCAGAAGTAACCAGATTTAATTATGTGGCTTTATTACATGTGCGGGGTTTTATATTAAAATGGTAACTGTTTACATTGCTTTTGTTTGAATTTAACTTCAATTTAACCGTTTTATAATATAAAACAAATTAATATTTGTTGATTTATATGTTACATTAGGAATAAACGATGTTTAATTTTGGTATGATTATAGATTGCGGGATTAGGTCATGACTGAAATGTGACCATATTTTCATCAAACGAATTAAGTATTTGACTGTCATCACGTCTATAGGAAAAAATAATTTGAGTATGATGTATTTAGCTTTTTATTGTTTGTGAATAATGTAGATACTTTACTATTTTGTTTTTCGCTCAACGACTATCAGTAAAAATATTAAGAAATTTACTCTATTTGTTGCTTATTATGGTGATAAAAAATAATTTCTGC